CTTTTCTTCCACAACACACACAAGGGGCAAAAGATCAAACACCTCCGTGCAGTAGCGCCACACATTAACGCTGCCGTACTTTCGGAGACACTCATCATAGAAGCCGTATACCTGCGTAATCTGGCGCGACTCGTGGTTACCGCGAAGAAGCACTACGCGAGTGGGATACTTGACCTTGAGGGCGACCAGAAGAAGGAATGTCTCCACGCCGTGGTGTCCACGGTCAACGTAGTCGCCCATGAACACGTAGTTCACATCAGGGACCTCTCCGCCTACACGAAACATCTCGATAAGGTCAAAAAACTGAGCATGGATATCACCAACAATGGTGCATGGTGCGCGTATCACGTGAGTATTGGCCTCTGCATCAAGAATGTTGTGAGCAGTCTGGCATAACTTCATCACCTCCGACTCCCTGGGGTAGGCGCCTTTACTGACGGTCTCTAGAAACTGATCAATTGAATCCATATGCAGCTTTGCTAATAAAACCGGAACAAACCCAAAAACTTGCTACAGCACAAAAAAACCTGGGATGATTTCATCAACAGTGCCAACGGCAGAGGTCACAAAAAGAAAAGGTGAGGAGCCCAGTACAGCTCCAGTGGACGTCGCACAGAACCCACCAAAGCCAAAAAAAAAAGGTGTTCTTTCAATTATGTACAAAGGGTGAGATGTTCGAGCAAATAATGAGCAAAAACAAATTAACGGTAGGCAATTCACACAGTTTCATGCATGTAAATTTTTATTAATACTTGCTTATCTCTCTTTGTGTGTAAAATGTCTTTGAACTGGGAAAAGCGGAATTGGTGAATTTATCTTCTGCGATCATAGTTCCCCAACGCATCCGCAAGTATTGCATCCTCAAGAACACTGCCACCGTCAACAATGCCATTTTCAACGTAACTTCGGTAGTCAAAATTAGCAAACTTACAGAGACGCTCTTCCAGGTCGCAGCTGTACGAATTATTAGCCAAATCTGATACAAATTTTAGTCGACTGCTCGTTGCTTGGCGATTCGCATTCATAGAGATGGTGCCGGGCGCTGGTGTCTCGCCGTTATGACGCAGGCGAAAATCCTGCATCATGCTGCGCTTGACCGAAGTCGACGCGGTACATCTTACGCCGCCTTTGCTTTCCTGGGCTCCGCAGCTATTTTCCTGGCGGCGTTCCCCTTCTTCACGGAGTTTATTCTCCAAGCGCTGCATCAGTTCGGCAGTGGTGGAATGCCGTGGCACGCTGACAGTGGAAACTCTTTGGGCAACACCTTCCTTCACAAGGGCACGCATTCTTTCGTATTCTTGTTTAAAAGCAGGGTTTTTTGCATCGTATTCGGCGCGGCGTCGCATTTCTTCCTCGCGCTGTTTCTCAAATTCACTCCTCTCCTTCTTCTTCCCCTCCTCCTCCAGACGTTTCCGCTCCACAAACTGTCGAAGCTCCTCCGCGGTAAGTTCAACATTAGGATCCATCATCGGGTCATAAGCCCGCGCCTGACCCTCAATGTGAGTCCGCAGCCTCTCCGAGTCATACAAACGGCGCCGCGCCGGGTCAGACAAGATGCTGTTGGCGAAACTTATCTCCTTGAAAACCTCTACACCGTCCGGATTCTTGTCCGGGTGGTACACTACAGCCAGCTTGTAATATGCACGCCGAATCTCGACGTCTGATGCGGTCCTAGGCACCCCAAGCACATCATAGAGCGCCCTGTTTCCTCTCAGCTCAAAGACATCCGAGCCCATGACCCTGCTCCTTTTCCCTCCTCTTTTTTTTCGTTTTTTTTTGTCACTATATTCCCCAACGGATGTCTCGCTGTGAATGTTTTATATACAACCAACTTGTTGGAGTTGCTCCGTGTTTTGAAGTGTATAGGTGTCCGTTCTTTTTGTTTTCCCCCTTTTTTGTGCTTTTTTGCCTTCTTGGGATATTCCTTTGCGGTAGTGTGAGCTCGGCAAGCGACGCGCTTCAACAGTGAGTCGGCAAGAGAAAGAAATGATGGAAAGTGCTTGCGTACGCAGGCGCAATGCAACATTTTTTATTTATATTTTTTGGCTACTTTTTTCCTCCTGCACCTTTTTTCAGAAAATTGCAGCTGGTATTGTCCGCCCTCCCCCTTTTAATGCGGGCAGGGCTGGAAGAATTAAAAAAAAAAAAAAAAATGGGGACGGCACGCTGAAAAAAGCCCACAAACAACAAGTTGAAGACAATGAAAGTACCATCACTACGTCGCCCAGTATCCGGTCTTCTTTGTTGCCCGCCCACGATTCTTCATGGTGTGCGCAGAGAAGCTTTTACCGCCAAATCCCGTGCGCTTAAGCCCCTTCATCAGCGTGCCGCCTCCACCCATGAAAGAATAGCCGTGCGCAAAACCCACAACCGCAACACGCGACGGCTGCCCTGCGCCCGCCAGCCAAGGACACATATAACCCTCCGCTTGCATATAGAGTGAACGCTGCTTGCGGACTCGCGAGACGTACTTTTCTAGGATGCGATCCAACTGCTTCCGTCGAGCACTTTTCCTCAAGGACCGCTGGAGCGATAATGTTTCGCCTTCCGAGAGGCTTGCGTGCTCTCCCTCTTCGAGAAATGTATGTTGTCCAGCTAGCTCAGCTGACAAAAGACGGTCGTAATCACCTGAAGTTGAATGCTGTGCAAAGTGCTCGAACGAGCCTTCCTGATGCAGGGGAAGCTGTGCTACTGACGTCGTAATCATACTTTTTTCTATAGGCACACCGTTGATAGCCCGCACAGTGTGCGTTTCCTTGTCCAAACTTGTGGGAAGCTGTGGTAACAGCGGCGCAGAGAATGGGAGCGGAGGCTTCTTGTTGGAGAAAACAGATGGCGGTGACTCATGAGCAACCCGTGATGAAACGGATTTGGCATACGCCTCGGGTGTTGACGCGTCCCTCTTTGTCCAAAAGACGTCTTCCTCAGGTTGATGCTGTCGCGTGGAGCGGAGTGATGCCCGGACGCAGAATCTTCTAGGCGTCTCCGCCTGCTCAAAGAAAGAAGAAGAAGTGCTCTCTTTTGCTGTAGTTGAGTTAAATACGTTTTGCGGCCCTGAACCTTCTTCGACAGCCAAACACGATGTTGGTAAAGCTACGGTGTTATGGTTTTTATTTTTTTCGTTGCTGCTTCCGCCGTCCTTGTATCTCTTGTCAGAACTCTCCACGAGATGATTTGCAACCTTTTCTTTGGCCGACAACAGCGCCGCCTTCGGTGATGTCGCCAACCACTTGGCTTTAGCTTCCTCATGCATCAAGACAAAACGCTCCAACGACAAGTTGTCCTCTTGGGGCAAAATGAAGGATTCTACTGGGTAGCGTTGCTCCACCGCGGTCAACTCCTCCAGAGAGGGAGGCGCGTAACTCAACTCCCTGATTCCTTTGTATGTCAAGTCCTCTGCACGCACCAGCTCCTGTGTGCAGTAGTACGTGATGTCGTGTTGCAAGGCTCGGATGTTCAAGCACCTCTCTGGATACTTGGGGTTGGCCCTTATGCCCAGGACAGGAACCTGATTGCTACCCAAAAAGTCCCAGACATCATTCACCTGTTTCTGAAGAGCCACCTTATCGCCCTTGAATCGATCAATTTTATTTAATATAACCGAAAAATTTATCTGCTGTTCCCGCAAAAAGGCAAAGATTTCCTCGTCTCGGGGTTGAATGGGCTTCCTGGCCTCCATCACCCAATAAACCCGCTTAAGTGGGCCTTGTTTGCGAAGCGCTAAATAACGAAATAGAATGGCAAATGCACTTGCACGTTCAGCTAAGTTTTGCGAGAGTTGGCGTCCCATCCAACCGCCATAACCGGGGGTGTCTACAAGTAACATGGCATCCCCCACATTGAAGAACTGAAGAATTCGCGTGGTTCCCCGTGTGCTTCCAGAACGTCCCAATCGGCGGTTGTGCAACAGGCACGATATGATCGATGATTTGCCAACGTTGGGTTTGCCGATGAAGCACACCTCCGGAAATGAATGCAGTCCCTCCGGCAAGGCGGAAAGTGTATTCACGTTCTTGAGGTGCACATTGCCCTTTGAAAACACCTCGTCGCTCAGTCTTGCCACCAACGCTTCCCGCTGCGACATCACAGGGGCGTTGACAGGAGAATTTAAAAGCCTTTGGGCCAAAACCCTGGCAACTGGTCGACACGACAGATGCCTGAACGTCTTGTCCAGAAGCGGCCGGTAAAAAAGACGCATGTGGTGCTCCCGAGTCTTTTGCCTGTTGCAACGCTGAATCCTACGCGGAGGAAATCCCTACCCCACACTACAAAAATAATTGAAGAAAAAAAGGTTCCATTCCCACCTCACAGCACGGCAAAAAAAAAAAAAAAAACAATGACAAAAAAAGAAACATTCATTTACCACCGCAAGTAAACCGCCTCTACACAATGGGAAAGGTTTGCTCAACAACACATCGTTGGTATCAAATGAAAGGACAAAAAAAGAGAAGAACGCCACCACAACAAGAAAAAAACGATAGATACATCTCAACGCAGAAAAAAAAATAAATAAATACAGACACTTTTCTTCGTTTTTTTTCTTTGTTTCTTTTGTTTGTTTGTTTGTTTGTTTTTTGTTTTGTTTTGTGTTTTTTATCCACATATACACATATTTATTTATTTATTTATTTATTTAAAGGTTTTTTTTCCTGTAGTTATCAAAGTTCCGCGTATTTTTTTTGTTGAGCCATAACATTTTTTTCTATTTGGTGTTTCTAGCTATCATGTTTTTTTGTTTTTTTGCCTCGCCTGTACTTTCGTTGGTTTTCCCTTTTTTTTCTTTTTTTATTATTGCTGTTTTGTATTTCTCCTGTTTCCGTGTGTGTGTGTGTCAAGTAAATCCACTTTTGCCCCCCACATATTGCATGCCCCTTACCCTTTTTTTTTTTTTTTCCTTCCTTTCTTTTTGTTACACTTTTAATGAATGGTGGATAAAATGAATAGAAAAACCAGTTCCCACGCCTCCCTTTTGGTGTATATTTATCACCCGATATACATCTGTAAAAGGCCAAACCAGAAGAAATATGAAATAAAATAAAACAATAAGGATCAAAGGGCTAATTTTTGACTGAAATACCTACATGCCTGGAAGCCATCCTCCCGCAATTTTGCCCTTTTAATGGCGGGGGTTCGCTTTCATATCTATTGGGGGTACGTATCATTCACTTGGCCTGAGCGGAATTGAGTTGAGACCCCTCGTCCGCATTTTGGTTGGAGGCAACGGCATCCTCTGCCTCTTTTTCAGGGCCATCCTTAGTTTCCTCATCCTTCTTCATTGACTCCGTCTCTTCCTCTGAAGCGACATTTGCCGCCGCCTCCTCCAGCTCCCGGGTTGCCGTAGCGAACCCCGGATCCACATGACGAGTCACCACAGGCTCCTCTGAAGTCTTCTTTATTTCTTTCTCCTCTTCCTTCTCATCCGCCCCATCATCTGGCACCTGCACGATGCGGCTCTTCGCTTCTCCAGGAGTACCGTCCACGCGTACCGGTGTGTACGTTACGCGAATCAACCTTCCCTGATCCTCCTTCTGAACCGTGTAATTGCGCACACCGGTCTCAACCACTTCAAAGTTCTCTGTCCCTGGTACCTCACGCTCCCATTCAATGATCGGTTCGCCAGGCTCGCCACCAAAGTACTCCACTTCCAGCTCCAGGGTATTACCAACCAAAGGCTCACCCACAACGTTCAAGAAGTTAGTTTGAGGAATACCAGCAGAAACGACACCATCCGACCTTGTTGTCACAGTTCTTCCCTGCACACCATCCGAGCGCACAGGTGTCACCGAAACCTCAATCGTGCAGTCGACTTCACGCTTGGTAAGAGCGAGTGTTGAGCTGTTAGGGCGGCCAGTTTTGGTTAGACGTTTGTATCGATCTCGGCGGAACCACTGAATCACGTGTGGTCCAAAGTGCCCTCCTGTGTACTCGTATTCCACTGTGAGTACGTGCTGCTCTGTTAACTCGCCCATAATTTTGAGGTCGTGGATTTCCGGGGTAGAGGGTTCAATAGGCTTCTCCAACACACAACGGCATGTTTCACCCTCTTCACCTTGTTTGCTGACAGGTGTGTACTCCACTGCCAGGCACTTACCCACATCTTCAAGAGTGGGAACATACCGCGTGGCATTCTCTCCCTCAATAGGGAAGTACTCCTCTGAGCCCTCATCTTTGCGAAGCCATTGGTAATAGCTTTCTCCCTCCTCACCACCAGAGTATACCACCTCCACCTCCAATTCGCTTCCTTCAATAAGGCTACCAATTATCTTGATAGATTCACATTCAGGAGCGCCAGCCACAACGGGTGCCGTAACAACAGATTTGGGTTCGCCTGCCACCCAATCATTCCGCATGGGAGTAAACTCCACCTTGATGCGACAATCAATGTCATTGCTCGTCAGCTTGTAGCCAGACCAAGGATCATTGATATCAATAGCAATTTCTTGGCCATCAGGGGTAATGCGGAACCAGCTGAGGTAAGAATTACCCTCAACACCACCAACATATTCGGCCTCCGCCACCAAAACATGGCCTTCCACAGCCTTGCCCTTAACCTCAAGATGGGGGCACGTTGGTGGACCAGCGACAATGGGGGTGGAAATATCAAAGTACAGGAAAGAGAACATACCGTTAACGTACGCAAGCACCTCAGCGCGCAGACAGCAACCCACATCAGCAACAGTTGGTGTATACGTCAGTGTGTTGTTGTCCTCTATGATCTCATAGCAGCTACCTGGTGCGCTCTTCATCCAACGAATGTGCAGAACAGTATCCTTTTCATCTTCCGTACGTTCCAATTCTGTGACTTTGTAAATGTAGCAGAAGCCTTGCTTGTACTTGGACAAAACTCCATTTGCCTCGGGATCGATCTCAACACCATCCACAATGTAACGGTATTCGTAATCCCCGGCAGGTAGATAGAGAATGGTGTGGAAATAAATTTCGCCTTCATCTCCACAACGCTCCAGTTCAATGGGGTCTGTCCAGTTGTTCATGGAACCAACCACAAAGACTTCTGTAGCCTCACCAGAGACCCTGAAGGTTACGGGATACAAGTAACGCGAGAAAAATATATCCGTGCCCCTCTGCTCAAACGTGCGAATGTCTTGCATGCAGCATGTCAATCGTACCGGAATTCCCTCCGTGAGAACATTACGAGTTTCATCCTCCGGTGCGAGACGAATAGAGCATAGCTGTAGATGCTTTGACTTTTCCCTCGCACGCTGAAGTTTGAGAAGAAAAGCATCCGTGGCCTCTTCCACATTATCTCCTTCAACAATAAACCCTTCGCAGATACAGTAAGCAACCTTTCCTTGGTAATGCTCCAGTGCAGCACGCTCTTCCCCTTGGACAGGATTACCGTCGATAGTGACAAGGTTAGGATTGTTGATGGCGATGGCCATACTGCGGTAAGAAGGAATTTCTGTCACCGGGTTCCCAACAAGGTTCAGTGTATGCAGTGAAGGAAGATTCGGGTAATGCTCAAAGGAGGATATGTTATTAAAGTTCAGGGAAAGCACCCGCAAGTTTGGAAGCCGTTCTAACCCCTCAAAGCTGTTGATGGCGTTGTCACTGAGACACAGTGTCTCCAGGGAAGAAAAATTTGCAATGCCATGCAGAGACTCAACCCTATTCCCTGTCATGTAAAGATGGCGCAAAAACGGGGTCTTGCTTAAGAAATCCACTGTTCCACCAATTTCGTTAATGGACAGATCCAACACCTTAAGGTTTTCCATGGTCACTTCGGCGTCAAATTCGGTCAGCTCATTTTCACGAAGGTAAAGGTACTCCGCAGAGTAGTTCGCCAATGTCACCTCATGAACACTATGGAGGCCCTTCTTGTTCAACATCAAGCCGCTCGGCTTAGCGCCATTTGTCTTGCCACCCAATCGTGCGGTGCGTGTGACCATTTTTTACTCGACACACAAATAATTCGTTTGCTTTTTCTTTTCCCGTCCCTGTCGCTCTTCGTCTTGTGTTTTGTTTTGTTTTTCTATTTGGCTTGTTTGTTTGTTTGTTTGTTTGTTTGTTTGTTGTTGTTGTTGTTGTTGTTAAGAACAGAGTAGTTTATTATCAGATCTCCTTCCAAAAAGTAATTAGCAAAGAACCACAAAGAGAAAAACAACAATAATTTTAAAAAGGGGCATCTCATCAAGGTTATGGGGCCCTAACTTAGTCACGGTAAGTCCGGCAACGGCGTACACACTCTAGCGCACCAAAACAGCAAGAACAAAAAAAAAAGCTGTCTAAGCAATTTTCTTCTCATACTATACTTTTTCGCGTTTTCTTGGAAATTCTTTTTCTTGGCTTTCTTTTTCTTTTTTTTTTACCGTTCTTTTTTTTTTCATTCATTCTGTCTCCCCGTGTGTACGTACACCAGCATTATTTCGTTCGCTTTTCGTCTGATTGTTTGTTTTCATCTGACACTTTAATTTGGGTGAAGTTTGACTGCAGCATATCCTGTCGAGAAGTAGGGCGTTGGAGGAGAGGCGTACTGCAGCGTGAAGAGGAAGTCGAAGGAGTTCTTCCCCCTCTTCCTCCACCCACAGTTAGGCTGTACCTGCCACTTGCCACGTAGTCCCCACGCACCCCGCATAGCCTTTTCCATGAATGGACCATTATTTGAAAGGGCACCTTCGCCCTGGGATCCATCTCCGCCTGAAACGATGTTTTGTGGACAAACTCCACAATATCCTGCATTGTCAACACTCCGATCACTCTGCCCCTAACGTCTGAAATGGCGACGACCTGAATCACCATGTGTTGCAAGGCCTCAAACAATTCGCTGCAAAGAGTTGTTTCTGGGAAACGAGGTAGTGGATGTAGGGGAAGTTCTCCAAGAGACACAGAGTCGTTACCTTGGCAATAAATAAGCAATATAAGAACCTTAGTTTCAAGCACGCTAGTTACATTTGTCGGGTCATTTGGATCATTGTAAACAAGAACAAACTGAAGCCCCCTAGAAAAAATGTCCTCGGTAATTTCCTTCGTCAGGCGAGCGCCACACTGCAAACTATAAACAGAAGCAATACCACGTTTCAAGACATCTCCAGCTGTATTTTCCGACATACTCAACGCACCCAACATAATACTTGACTCTACCGGCGAAAAGTCCTGATCCTGATCCTCCAAAGCCGAAGCATCTTCTACTGCCAAAGAAGACATGTTTCTGACTCGTTTTTCACTTCTCATTTCTTCTTGTAAGCGGATGAGCTCAAGTAATTCACAACGTCCCAAAAAAAAAGATTCCTTATCCCCAACAAAAAAATCAAGCAACTTTCCGATGGACCAGGTGAGAGGTGAAGTTAGACACATAACGAACAGTACTCCATATGTCAGTGCAGCACTAATTTGTAATGCAAAGCGAACAAAAAGTGCCTGTGGTATGATCTCAGCAAACACCAAGATGATTCCAACTGAGACAAATATCGCTGCCACTGAATTTAAAAACGTGTCAAACACCAAGGGCATCATTTCCACCACCAAATCCTCAACAAGTAAAAGAGTAACCAATAGCCAGTTAGATTTGTGTAATAGCATCATCACTCGACGGGCCCTACGTGCATCTTTGGTATTGCCAACTTGAATAAGGGCATTTAGGCGTTTCTTATCGAGTGAAAACAAGCAAAGCAAAAGGCCCGAGGCGAGACCTCCGATAATGGTCAGCACGACGATTATGCCACCAAGTACCTCCCCAGAAACGTCGATATGAAGTCCGAAGAATGTAGAATTCGTCATTCTAGTCGGCCTCTCTGCGAACCAAATTCAAAAATACGGAAGAAAAACAAAAAAAAAAAAGAAAGGAGTCATACAAGCTACAGTAAAATCAGTATCATTATTATTACTAATAATACCAATAACAGACCCAGGCTTCTAACGAGAAGGGAAAAAAATTTTCAACCCCATGTATTGTACAAAAAAAACCAACGCACTTTCCATCATTGCATCATGATGAACCAATAATGAAAGCTTTAGAATATCAACCAGAACTTCCCAGTTTAAATCTTTCCTCCACACTATTCTTTTTCTTTGTCTTGTTTTTGTTTTTGCTCTAAGACGGTCACAAACAAAGTTTCCGTGTAATGTTTCAAGATTACCAGTGTAGAAAACTTTTAGGAAATGTCGTCGATATCGTTACGATGAAAAAGTCGTGAGAGGTATTGCCATTACGCCAGAAGAGGTTTTTCCTTTGGAATTCGCAACGCCTTCTTTAAATGAGGTTCATTTCTTGATACCTTTATTTCTAACCTTCACACGTGGGGAAAGCTCTACAAGAATGGGAGGCCATAACTCAGGCGTTTGACCCATTTTACCACTTTCACTTTTCTCCCCCAACTTGCCCACCATGTCATCATTGCCCACCACCGCCTGCGTGGCCGCGTCGCACATCGCTCGAGATCCTCGCTGGAGCGTCGGCGACTCATTTTTCTGTGGAAATGCCAAAAGGCCTGATTCCGCCTTTAATAGTCTTGCTGTTAAGAATTCAGTTTCAATGCTGTGGTCCTGCTTCAAGGTCTCCAATGCATCGCGGTACTCGTTACACTCCTTTTTCAGACGCCCAATCTCACGTGTTAAGGTCATCACGCGTGAGGAACCCTCAGCAAAATCGAAATTATCAGAGGCTCTCGCGTTATTGTGTATGGTGGCATTAGACGGATTGCAAATGCTATTATCAATTGTCCCCGTTTGGTTCATACCAGCAGAAAGTACTGCACACTCTTGTTTGAGAGTAACTACAAGACTATCCGCTTCGCTCAGAGCCGATCTAAGTTGCCTTATCTCTTCTTCATAATTCACCACTAAGTTCTCCTGCTGGGAACACCTCGGCAATTTTTCCTCAAGTAGAGCAACACGTTCCTCAAAGGGCTTTAAAAATAGAATTTCGCCTTCCAATGCTTTTATCTTTTCCTCGTACAGCTCCTTCCCATGTCTTGTCTCATCCCTCGCCTGCGTTAATTTGCCTCTGAGGTTATCTATTTCCTTCACTGCACTAAAATATGCTGCATCACGGCTCTCTGCATTTTCCAGCAAAAAAATATTCATCCTTGTCGCAACCGCCAACGCATCCTCCAGGGATTTAATCCGCGACTCATCGTGCTTTTCCACAGATTCCATTTTGGCCTTTGGTGAGAGTTCCTTTTCTGTGGAAATTGCAAGTGGCTTGCGCAGTGTCATTATTTCCTCTTCGTATCGGGCATTCTTCTCCACAGCCGAAACGGACTCCAAATGATGGGCTTTCTCCACCTCACGAAGCTTAACCATCATATCTTGAAAAGCTCTAATTTCGCCGTGAAGAAGAGAAATTTTTTGCTCATATGTGTTCTTTAAGTCGTCCATCTCTTTCTCCATTTCAGCTAATGTTCGAGAAAAATGGTCTCGCTCCAAAAAAATCCTTTCTTGGGTAAATTCAAAAGACTCCAAATCAGTGGCATTTCTTCTTGCTTCAGCTATCGTTCCAACCTCTTTCGGACAAACTGTATCAACCCCCATCTCTCCATACTTCGATTCGGGATCATCCAGCATTGTGCACGTCGAAAATTCACAATTTGAATTCCCAACTTTTGAAAAAGATGTTGCTGTTTGTCCGCCTTTCGGTGCCATTATTACACTCTCACCTCTTGAAGAGGTCTCTTCATTTACAAACGATAGTTCTGGCACCGTTGCCTCAGTTGAGAGTCCCAACAGACTTTTTTGGTGTATTGTGATATTCGAGAGCGTATTCAAGCACGATGCCAAACCCACAAGCCCCATTTCCAATCGAAAAAAAAATTTGTTTTTGGAAAGGTCACCGGATGCATGCTTTTTCAGATTTTTTGACTGACCGTTATTATGCTCATTTTTACCATTGTCATCTCCACCCACCAAAAAGGAATTGTAAATGCAATCAAATTCCCTTCGGGAAATCGAAGCATTCTCTTGCCTCCTACCCAGTTGCGGTGCCGCATCCTCCATTTTTATATATAATTGCTGCAGTTACTGATAGGGTATAAACAGAAAAAAAAAAAAAAAGGAAAAAAGATAAAGCCCATCCATCACGGGTCACAGCGGATGACACGTCAGTCATCAGTTAACCTTGTGAGATTTTCCCTCGATAAAATAAACAATGTTATCAGCTAGTTCCTTCAGAAAACACTCATCTCAGCCTTCAAAGCCATCCCTTAAAAAATATAGATTGCGTCGTACGCCACAGTCCATGCCAAGATGTATGTCATAGCACCTGTGACAAGGTTGCCAAGTGAAAAAAACTGTTTTTTCCCGGATGGGAAATACCGCTCAGGTGTGCCTTCACAACCAACATTCAGTATTATTAAGGAGCTTATTATTGCACAAAAAAAGAAAAACACCGCACCGGCGATACCAGTCAAGCCCATCACTCCAGCACCAACACCAGCTATGAGAGCGCTCATTGTTCTTATCTGCGATACGCTTCTCATGTTTTCTCCAAGATCATCATCCACATAAATAGTCTTCCCTAGGCTCATATTCGCTCAATAATTATCGGTCCTACCTCGTCCTGAAGTCAAAAAAAAAGGAAAAAAAAATAATTAAATTCCGCAAAAAAAAAAAAAAAGGAAAAGAAAAAAAATGTGCAAGACTATTTAGATGAGAATGTAGAAATCAAGAAATATTTCGTGAACTCTTTTTCTTTTCCAAGAGAATTCACACTCACTAGTTCAGTAAACCAGAATAACCACATGCTCGCCCATCTTCCGCCAAAATGACGGAACAAACGTCCACTACTGACCTCCACGACTGTTGCTATGTTCCAATTGAAGCTGTAGGATCACCTCTCTCTCCCGCTGCTTTTCAAAGTAATTGATCCAACTAGAAGGACATGCCTTACCCAGTGCCGTTTTTTGAGCAGAACACTCTTTTTCCGGGTCCTCCGGTAGAGTATCAAGACATTTGTGATATGCGTCCCGTGCCTCGTAGCAAAGCTCACGCTTTTTTGCGCTCTGCATAAAATATATATATAGAATATTTAGAGCAGTAAAAAGAAAGGACCGAATTGTGCTTTCTATGATTCTTTAGATACTCCTTCATGATGCAAAGCCAAGAAATTAAAAAACCAAAAAAAAAGATGATGTGGTGAGAATTATTAGAATTATTATTATGTTGAGACGTAAAAAAAAAAAGAAAAAAAGAAACATATTCGAGCAATTAAAAAAGAAAACTGTATATAAATCTCAAAAAGCGCTGCTCCAAAAAGCCGTTGAATTATGCAAAGAACTGGAACTTACTCGGTAGAAAAATAATAAAAATGGAAAAATGCAGGTTTTGGATAAAGTTCAAGAAAGCAGTATGAAAATTTCCTTGTAATAATTTATCCGTTCCCTTTTCGCGTGTCAAATCCTCAAAGAAAATTTTTACGGTATCGGATAGCTTTTTTTTTCGGATGATCCGAAAAAAATCGTATTTGAACCCATTTGAATAGGCCGACAGCTAAAAATATTAAAAATATATATCGTCCTTTTCTTTTCCATACGGCTTTTGCTCCATTCTTATCCTGAGGGCGCTCAAGCACAAAAGTATCCACACCAAAATCCTTTAAAATCCTGAAAATCAGGCGACCATTATTGTGCCTCAAGAAGACCCACCCATCCTCACTCAAGGATTTCACACCCACCCATCCTACAACTTGGGAAAAAACAAATTGTATTGAAAATTTTTCAATAACAAGTTTTTTTATTTTTATGGAGGCGACGCAGTATCTCGTAGAGTCATGGAAACAAGTCAGATTAATGCCTTCATCTTCCAAAGTGTGTAAAGAAGTCCAAACCCCGTCCAACGTCTCCGGAAGAATATCGGGAAAAAAGCTGGAAAAACTGAGACACGATATGTATATCACTGTCACAGCAGCAAAATACGACAAAATATGTCTTGATCGATCCATTCTTACAAAATCCTTCTCCCCCCTATGTAATGATTTCATTTGAATTAAGACGATCCTTATTCATAATTAAATACGCACAAAATAAACAAAGATACCAAGAGCAAAATAAAAAAGAAAAATACAAATATATATAATATATATATATAATTTATATATATATTGCATTCAAATTAATAACTAAATATCATCAAGAATTCATATTATATATGAATGTATTTTATATACGAAGCCATAAGCTTCTGGTCAAAAAAGATCCCATTCATGGCTTTGATTGTCCCAAAACATGAAGATAGTATGCATGATTTTCATGTGAGGAATTCAAAAACGCAAACCCTCTCATTCCCTTGAAGCGTTTTTCCGCATTTTCACGACCAAGTTTGATAGCTGCATTCGCAAATTCCCTAATAGTTGCCGCCTCAGCCTCAGAAGGAGGAGCGGAAACTTCCTTAACTTCACACTTTTGACGCTTCATGATCAAATCGACCTGAGCTCTTTTCCGGCGCAAAGCCTCGTGATCACAAAGCCCCAATAGGGAAGGTGTTTTCGCCATTAATGACGCAAGTTCCAAGGGATCTGATAATGGAGGAGTTGAATCCATACAGTTGTCAAGCCAAAATCCCACCTTTCCATCATCGACATCTTCCAATATTGAATTTAATGTGGGTGAGTGAAGCAATGCCAAAGGTATTGGCAAAGGCGCTGCCAAACCATTGTCATTGCCACTCTCCAAAATAATAGCATTATTCCATAGAGTTGTGTGTAGAACAATGTGTGTAACAATCAAAGGATATGAAAGATCAAGAGGGCATTGTATTGTATGATCGCCAAAACAAATCTCACATAGCTCGTTATGTGATGGATAACAATAAACGTTTACATGTGGTCTCGTTACTGACTCAGCACTTTTACTCACAGGTGCTTGTTCAAACCAACCACGAGAACGGGTTGAAGAGGCAGAAACAAAACTTCCCAAAATCGGTATTCTTTTCCCAGATGGATACGTTAAAAAGGCCTTTATTCGCGAATTTATTCCATCAAATTTTGGGATTAAAGATAACCCCTTAACAAGAGCTTCTCTTTCTGTAACAATATCATTTTCTAATTTTATTCGATGTTGAAGACAAAAATTATTTATTGCAGCTTCAACCCACGTTGGAAAATGGTGGGCAGAAGATATTAGTTTTAGAGCAGTCTCTTTGGGTTGTCTAAATGCGTGGCACCAAAAAATGCATTTAACATCAAAAGATGTAAATTCAGGGAACTTTGATTCGTAAGGCAAACAAAATCGATAAGAAACTGCCCTTCCCAAAACTTCCAAACGAAAGGAATATGATTCATCTGATATATTCAAAGAAGAAACAAGCCCAGAAGACTTCATTGCATTCATAACCTTTTCAAAGATTAAAGCCGCACCCCGAGATATAAAAAACATCTCGGATATCCTTAAAACAGGTTGTATTCCTTTTCGGCATTTCTCCAATTTAAATCTTCTAAATAACCACAAGACAATATTTATTGCCTCTTCAAGAAAACTTTCTTCCAGTTCATTTGCTTTCTCATTTCGCTCATCTGAGTTTGTAGCATCAAATAAGGGATATGGTAATAAATAAAATGGTTGTCTTCCAGGAAAAAGCATACGAATGAGCGCAATGTCGCAAACGTATCTATTTATTTCACTATAAAAGAAAACTTCTACACATAATCGATTTAAATATCGCTCATGCTCCGGTTTTAGCAGCTGCTCCCGAAGATTTTGGGGGGAACAAAAAAAAACAATGGGAGCGCTTCGATTATGCAAGGCCAATAATTCGTAAATTTGACTTTCCTTTGTTGCAACTATAATTGGAGTCGATGCATAACTGTCCGATAAGTGTTTTTGTAAATCATTTTGTAGCGAAATGATATCCGGTATTATGAATAGAACACAGCGCAATTTAGCATCATCGTTTTTTGGTTTTTCTTCACCAATATCACACAATTCTTCATGAACTCCCAAAATCAGTTCTGTCACTTTCTCCAGCCATTCCTCACGGTCACCCGCCGTTATAGCACACTCTGTCTCAACGGCAAATGGGTCATTCGGCAAAACCTCAGTATTCAATACACGATATACGCAAACCCTTAGTCTATCCTCAAAAAAAAGCTGCACATCGTCCAGTATACTATCACCTTCATGTCCCTTTAACGCGCCAATTCGAATACTCACCTTATGGAGTCTTTCACGCACAGAATCAACAGCAATTAAGGCAAAGTGGTGAAGTATTGATGAAACACCAATTGCCCACAAAGAAAACAGAAACTCACCATATGTATTCCCTTTTTGAAGGTAAAAATCAATAATTGGTAGAACGTATACCATGTTCTTTTCCGTGGATGCACCTCCCAAAAGAAAAGTCAAAAGAGACTGCCACATACAATCCATCCCCTTAAGGTCCAATGAGACAAAAAAGTAAACACTCAAATCATCCTGTTTCGCAACATCAAAAATACCGCACATATCACTGGGCTCTTTTGATTCAATGACCACAAAGCAATTCCCTTCTTTACTCTCTCGTACAAGTCGATGAGCCGAAGATGAATGAAACAAGGAAGGAATAATGTCCAAAAACTCCAAAACACCCCCATGCTTTAATTTGGAGTCATTCTCATCAAATCCTTTTCTCAGTCTAAGAAATAAATCATAAAACGGAGTATTTTCTTTCATGAAATATGAAATCGAATCCGCCCGCGAAATCATGCTCTCAGAGATACGATGCATCCTTGAGGCTGCAACTGCATCAAAAAAAACGCTACTTTCCACAGGACTGCAGTACGGCAAATCGCCATAGAAGCCCGAACTTGCTTTCCTCAAACCCATGATCTAGAAGACACAACAAGCAAATAAAAAAGGAAAAAAAGAGAGAGAGGGAAGTGTAAAAAACAAAGCGACATTTGCGAACAAAAGGCCAAAAATCACCAGCGCAGAGAGTCACGGACAAAAATATATAACAACACACAGCCCAAATTCAAACAAGAATAAAAGCAACGGAAATAAGAAAAATACCACTTCAATAAGCAAAAAAAAACTTCATTCACCCACCTTCGCCGCTTCAATTGGCTTTGTGCCTTTTGGGCGGTGATAAAGGCTCACCCCCGATCGCGCCGCCCTCCCGCCGCGGCCGCGAGGGACGTCGTGCCCCCCGCTGCGCGAAGGTATTGTTGAAGCAAAGCCCTCCCACTCCGAGGCGAAACCGCGCCAAGGTTTTTGTGAAGCACGGCCCCCGCACTTCTCCAGTGTGCGAACCGAGTTTTGGTTTAGGCGCCTGCGGAGCCGGGCAGCGGAGCAGTTTCAGAATTGTCCCTTCGCGCAGTTCAGATTGGCTGGCCTTCGCGATGTCCGCTTTGATGCCCGTGGAGTGCCGTGCGGTGGCAGGTCTTTTCTTCATCGCTGAAGCGCCAAAGGCCGCGTGCTGGACGGCGAAATCCGACCGGTGGTGATCCCATCGGGGCTTTGTCGCCGGGCAATCTGCGGTTTCTCAGCGGCCTGACACCCTGCCGTCACGGAATCGGCAACATTGCAGGGTTGATGAATGCACGCGCGCGTGACAATTTAGGCAAAAGCTGCGCGGTCCCTCGACGGCATTCACCGCTTGCCCGTCACAGTAAGGGCGTTGAAGTGCTGTGTTTTCTGGTTCTTGCAGTAACTTTGTTCTGGGGTGTTCGTGTGCACGTGAATGGGGGTTTTGCCCGATTTGAGTTTGAGATTTGGTGGCCGAAACTTCGCGACTCAACGGTGAACGGCTTTCGTTTTTTTTTGTTTTTTTTTTTTTGCTTTATGTCAGATGGGCAAAATCAAGCGTACCGGGATCATAGCTAAGCGGAACATTGCCTTACCACAAGCGCTGCGAAAGAACAGCGGCCGCGCAGGATTAAGACGTGTGTGCTGTCGAGGGTGTGTCGTCTCTCGCCCTCGTCCTTGCGCGAATGGCGGGTTGCGGTTCCGAAGGGGTTCTGGCGGTGCCGGCTCACCTGAGAACTTGGCTTTCCACGGCGTCTGGGAGCACGTAATGCCCTGGGCGTTCATTGTTTGCGTCAAAACGCCAATGCGGCAGCCGCGGCGCTTGCCACACACCAGGCGGTCTGCCGGGCGTCGGATCGTGGCGGGGTGGGGTTCGGCGGGGGGAAAAGGAGCTTTTGTGCGAGGTTCATTGCGTGCCGCTGTTGGGCATCCGAGTCGCACCGACATCATTTGCTTGGGATGGCGGGTTGCGGTGATCGTAGCAGCCATCCGTATTTCTGCAGAACCCCGGTGCGGCCTCTTCCCATTAGTGACGGTGGTGTTGGTGCGCGTTGGTTTCCAGTTGCCTGTTGCGGTGGAGCGGTGTGTTTCGGCCTTGAGCAGTCGGGCGTGAATAATATTTTTGACCAATGCAACGATGCCGGTGATCCACCTGTCTGTGAGCTGTGTGAGGTCGGATGCCGCCTCGGATTTCGCACCACAAGCTCCGTTCCTGGACACGCCGCAGTGGCCAACGACAACTGCATCCGTGTGCGCGCTCCTCGGCGCGGCGGGCGGAGGAGTTTCCAGAGTCGACGATGTATCGGGACAGATGCCGTGAGAGGGCCCGTTTCAGGAGCGCAGCCAGGAGAGAGCGTGAGCCTGTGAAGGTTGACACACTACACGGCGCACCGCCTGTCCGCCGGATGCTGCTCATTGGCTTTCTTATACCAAGGTGTGGGGCGATGCATTCGGCTCTGCGGCTGCGTGGTGTCCGTTCTGCGCCGGCCCCCGGCAATGCTGATCGGCGTTCCATTCAGGTACAGCATCGCTGCTGCTCCCAACTCGACGCCGAGTTCCACGAAGCCGCCTGTTCATCCTTCGCGGCGTTTTCTTCTGGGTGTGGCGAAAGGCCTTTGTTTCAGATGTGGCGGGCGAGCCAGCGGCCACAAGCCCTGTGCCGGACCTTGTCGGGGCCATCTGCAGCGGCACCACCGCGGGAGGCGCGGAAACGGACTCGAGCTGCGGTCCGCGGGGGTGGTCACTGTGAGGGGCGGGCGGCGAGCTTCTGTCCGAAGCGCAGGGCGCAGCGCCATGACGAAGCCGTGCGGTTTTCTGGCGGGGTGCTGCGGGTGGCGGAAGATGGGGGCACTAAAACGCAAAGCATTACCACGCACCTCGCATCGGGGAGGGGCTGCAGCTTTGCCTCCAACACGGCATCCTCCACTCTACTGCCTCTCGGGGCTCACGCAACTATTTTGCTCGCCTGCTACTTTGCGGTATCCGGCGTGCAGCGGGACGTCGGGAGGCGTCCAACACCATGCGCTGATGCCGTGCGTCGCCTCCGCCCGCGGCAGCGCTATGCACAACGCCCCCAGTGTGTCTCTCCTAGTTCCCCATGCAAAACACAAAATCGTTGCCAGTTGGAGTGGGCGCTGATCCAATTCCTCACGGCGATTCGCCACGTGTGCCCATTTCACAAGGATGCTGGAACTTGATGCCCAGAAGAGTCGGCATGTGTTCCATAGCGGCCGGGGCGTCCTCATAAGCGAGGCGCAGTGGGGCCGTGTTGCCGCTGCCAAGGAGAGTGTAACTAGTCTTTCTGGCATTCGCCTCCACGAAGTATTCTCTGGTCCACTCCGCCACGGCACTCAGGCCTTCTTTTGAGGCCGAGTTGCTCGCATCCCTGTTGCTATGCTGTGCGATGGTGGTGGGGGCGTCAGCAATGAACCCTCGGCGAAGTAGGGCACGTTCGAAGGGCAAGAACAACGAGACTGCATGACGACGACGAACGTGATGGGTTCCAACACTGTTCCATGCGGTGCGCCTCGTGTGGGTGTCATGGAGGAGGGTGTTTGTCGATGCAAACCACAGCGCTTGTGCTATTAAGGCACGCTTCTGACCAGCGTACGATGCGATTGGGAATCGACAGTCGCCGCATTTCCAAGATTACCGCGTCAGGGCCCACCGTGCCAAAGGCATTGGCGTGGTCCACAAAGTAAGCCGCCGTGCGGTGTTGTGGAGCATTGCGATGCATGGCAGGCCTGAGGTGCAGCAATTGGTCGGGGGCGGAATTGCCCGGCAAGAAGCCAGATGGCCGCAGAGCCAACTGGGACTCGATGACGTCCCGGATGCGTGCGGCGGGGGTGCGTTCCATGAGCTTGCTGAGGCAGCTGCTCAGCGTTACAGGTCGGTGGGGGTCGCGTTTTGATGCCGTTCTCTCCGGATTGGGGAGGAGTAGCACAGCCCGCGTCGCCAATTCCGCGGGACGGCACCTGCACGTAGGCGGATATCAAACAGCCAGGGAACGGCACACCTCGCCACACGGCCTAGATGGCGCAGTGCCTCTCCATTTATTCCGCCGGGGCCAGGCGCCGGTCCCAAGAGCAACAGCCGTAGGGTGCGGCCGGGCTCTGCCATACTTATTGGGTGAGGTCCATCGCATTCGTCGGGATCGGTGGCGGAGGGTGAGTCTTTGGGTGCCGTGTTGCTTTCGCCGCCTACAGCTTCATGAGGTGGCTGACCTTCAGGTGTCTGCTGAGCATTGGGCCATCGAAATTCATGGCTGGCGTGCTCAAGGTACGAGGAGCTTAAACACGGGCATACTACCTACTGCCTGTTGCCGTCCGTGCCCTCGAGCTCGGAGCGGAGCGTGTGCCAGCGGCTTTTGGATGCTTCGCGCAGCGCTTCCCTGCGACGGGGGCCCGGCCGCTGACCGCCTTCTGCGTCACATGCGGCGGCAACGGCGCGGTAAAATTTCTCCAGCCATGGAGCCCAGAATGGCGATAGCTGGGGGTTCCTCTCCGGGATTGTTGCCGTGACGGCGTTAGCTTTCTTGATGTGCTTGTGGGAAATTTTTGATAGGAGCTTGTGAAGAGAATGGTCGCGGGAGAGCTGGCTAACTTAATTAATGTATGTATATCCTGATAAATGAATGCATTCTTCATGATACTTTTCCTACCCTGGCTCAGCCGGCCACCTCAACGTGGTGCCAGGGTCTAGTACTCTTTGCTAGAGAGGAAGCTAAGCGCCTGCTGCCCTTCCGCTGCCCGCGGAGAGGCAGGAGGCGCCGCACAAACGGGTCGGAAGGGCAGATGTTGGAGCCATTTACATGGCTGCCCGCGGAGCGGTATTTTCATCCGCTGCTGAATTCCATCGGCGCTTATCAGCGCTACACATACCGTTTGCGTGCCGTATGTGACGCGCAACGACAAAAGCCACTGCTAAGCGGAGACATTGAGCAGAACCCAGGCCCCATAGCAGTACTCCAGATGAACTTTTCTTGCCTCACGCCGTCAAAACTCGCAACATTAATGGCGCAAGGAGCAGACATAATAGCCATTCAGGAGACTTGGAAGTCGTCAGAGCAGATCGCCAGCATGCACACTGGAGAGTATGTGCTCCATGCACAGTCGCGCATCGGCAAGGGAGGCGGTGTGGCGGTGCTGGTGCGGAAAACTCTCCGCTCCAAGCGTATACCTCTCACCATCCCCCAGCACGACACCAGCCTTGAAGTGGTGGTGGTCCAGGTTGCTCTGGAGCAGAACCGTGATATTATTGTAGCGGGTGCCTATATGAGACCAACACCGCAAGTAACGCAATCCTTCAGGCGGTTAGTAAACTGCCTTCCAGCCTCGTCGCCGCTCCTGCTGTGTGGGGATTTCAACATGCATCACCCACAGTGGGAGCCATTCTTGGAGACTTCTCCAAGTGAGGTTGCTGCAGAATTTTTAGAACTGTGCACGGATGCGGGACTCACCTTGGTTAACACCCCTGGTGAGATCACGTATGCCCGTGGCACAAGAGAACGATCCTGTATCGATCTGACATGGTCAAAGCATTTGACTGTGTCGAATTGGTCAGCTTCCGTGTCGCCGCTT